CCGGGCGGATTTTTTAAGGAATCCCGCAAAATGCTAATGCTTGCGGTTTTTTTAAGTTATTCTTAGCTAAAGTTACCACACTTTTTCCGTTTATCGACGCAGAGAGTTTTTTCGTGAACTTCCCTGTTACTTTTTCAATATGTAGAACTCGAGTCCAAGAAAACAACACGGGTGGCTATCGGGTGAGCACTTAACCGATCAGGACTGGATAACTGCAAACGCTGACACGATTCGTCACTCCGCAACTCCGTTCCGTAACTGTGCAACTTTTGAGTAGCGTAATAATTTACGCACCGTTTTGAAACGTGTAACAGACCGACCGCATACCGTTGCTTTTGTGTTCTATGACTCCTCCGCTTTGTGAGTTATTTTTCTTTTGGTTCTATGGTTCGTGAATAGCAAAAAAGGAGGCGCGACGGAACTATAAACTTCATTTTGACACGTTTCGGGCCACCAACATCTGGAAGCCATTTCGCAGGAGTTCATGCGGCGAGAAAGCCAAGCATTTGACACCTGACCAATTTGAAATTACCGACGTTGCCGCTGCGAGAAAGGTAGCAAGCGACAAATCCTCGTGAAGCAAAACACGGACATTCCATCCAGTGTCTCAGTGTGGCGGACGTTTTCAACGGGGAAAATGCGTTCCGCGCTAGGCTTGCACCCTGTCAGACGCAGATCTGGGGAGGCTGATGGTCTTAAATGGCCACCGGATTCTGCCGTGAAGATACAGCACCGACCCTCGCTGCTGGGTGAGAACCTGACCCCGCTGCTCGCCCAGCATCGGAAGCGCTGACTCAGCCACCTGAAAGGCGGCGACCGGCATCCCCCCGGCCCGAGCGGTGGCAGAACTCCGCAGGTGACCGGCAGTCTCCCGGCCCGAGCGGTGGCGGAACTCCGGCGGTGGTTGGCAGCCCCCCGGTCCGAGCGGTGGCGGAACTCAGGCGGCGACCGGCAGTCTCGGCAGTGGTGGAACCAGTCGGCAGTGGTGGAACTCCGGCGGCCGTTCGTGTGCGATGGCACCGCTGGCTCGATGCCAACACCTTTTGTTGCCAGCTGGTCGCCAACATCAACATGTGACGGATTGCCGGTATTCGCTTATGGTCCGCGTGCTTCATCAGCATAGAGCAACTACAGGCGTCTGCCATTACTGGTGCGTCAATAGGCACTCTGTGTTGGTTTTCTGCCCATCAAAAATGACTGACGTATATCTAAGACTCCTAAGATTACAATCTGATCTGAATCTGAATCTGATCTGAATCTGAATCTGATCTGAATCTAAGTCTGCGAAACTGTTTGTGAACTCAGTCATGATCCCATAAGTGATAAAAGACTTTCATCATCCGAAGACTCAAGTGAACAACCAGCATCTGTCGTCTTTCCTAGAGGCCGCAATCAACCTTTGTGTTTGTTACGCTGTTTGTATTCACCGAACTCGTGTTCTTTCTCATATTGAATCAGTCAACCAGTTATTGTTATCATTCAGTGAAGCTGTGGCGTTCTCAAACAGGTTCGTCACGCCGGGATATCCTCTTTCTTTGGCTGCAGTTAGACTGCCAAATCTCTCAACTTCTTACATTCCGTTCATTTTCCCTGGCCTGCTACTTTCTCAATCTTCAGACTGAAGTCGGCCAGCCGAACCAGTGGTCTTTAAGGACAGTTGACTGAAGCGGCGTATGCGCCGTTCTCAAAACTGAACTGAAGCCCGTCAGTCACCTTTGTCGTCGTTCTCGTATTCCAGCTTGTCGTCCGGACCTCCAGCCGCAATGACCGCAACGGGCAAGTCGCTGCTGGGCCTCTGGCTGTACAAGAAGGGCACTGGAGACACCTGGACCGTCCGGGAGGCAGCCGACAGGAGCACGGCAAGTGGAGACCTCTTCTCCCCCCCCCCCCCCCCCCGGAGGCAGACAGTCCTCTCCACCCGGCAGATAAACCGAGTGTGTCGGTCAGTGATGTCTACGTTCATGCGCTTACATCTTTTTGAATAGACACCTGCCGTGCCTGCTACCTGTCCAATGCTTTAAGGTTGTATTGGTCTCGATTTTCAGATATGTCAAGATTTGATGCCACAAACTTACCACTGGCGAATAGATGGGGTCGATAAAGGGGCATGAAGATTTTACTGCGATGTGGGTTCGCCCCAAATGATGGCAATAGTAAAATGTAATGGGTCATTTCCGCGACCGACTTGCATTGACAACTACACCCATTGCGTGATAAGTAGAGTCCCAATCTGCAATGTTAGCTCGCCTTCCGTAAATTACGATTAGATCAGCCTGCTCATTCCATGCCCACAGCTCAAAAGGTCACACATGCGACCATGTTCGTCATCTCTGCAAAATATTGCATCACGGCAAATATGTCTGCAGTAACTACATATTTGCCCAACATTACAAACATCGCTATAAACATGATAGCTAACAAAGCTGACAAAGTGCCAGGCATACAGGCAAAGTCTTCCGCTGTGGAAGGGTGAAATGTCGGCGCATCATCTTGCATCTCGCAAGTTTGCTCCAAATTCAGATTAAATCGCGTGATACTGAGTCTAAACGTATTGACCAAGTGGGAAGGGGATGACCGCCCCAGACCCTCCTCCCGCCCTGCTGGCCTGGTCTCGGCACCATCCCACGCTGCGTCGGCCGTGGTTATCAGCGCCAGGCGTGAGTCGTGAGACGCGAGCCGTGAGAAAGTGAGGCGCGAGACCGTGAGGTGTGAGACGTGAGACGTGAGGCGTGAGACGCGAGCCGTGAGAAATGAGACGTGAGGCGTGAGACGCGAGCCGTTGAAAAGTGAGAAGTGAGACGCGAGCCGTGAGACGTGAGACGTGAGGTGTGAGGTGTGAGACGTGAGACGTGAGGTGTGATACGTGAGGTGTGAGACGTGAGACGTGAGACGTGAGACCGTGAGACGTGAGACGCGAGAGGTGAGACGTGAGACGTGAGACGTGAGACGTGAGACATGAGACGTGAGACGTGAGGTGTGAGACGCGAGACGTGAGAAGTGAGACGCGGCAGCAGGGGTAAGAACGCGTAGCAACAAGACGACGGCGGGCCTGTGGCTTACATAGCAGAGATTGAGGGCGATTGTCACGGTGTTGAAAGAATTATGCATGAAGCTATACTTCAATGCCACTTGGTACACAACTGGCATTTGCGAAGAGTGTACGCGTAACCAATTGCACACTGAGGCACATTGTGGTGGCTTTTAATCAACCATCGAAACATCAAATTCGACATCAAGTTTGAGGTCTTATGCGTGATCTATCAAGTAAACCTCAACGGCATGTATGTCGCAACCTTGCATTCAGGTAGGCAAAAACTTAATACGCACGCTCCGCCCTCATTCCAGAAGCCGATGGATGGCTTCAGATCGTCCACCAACTCGGTAGTGTTCTCACTTAAGAACGGCATGGGCGGTCTCAGTCAAGCGCTGGCAGTCGTTCAGGTAAACAGGCAAGATGTTTTGTTTCAACGAGCATCTTGTGGTTGATGCTACTTAGATTGTTGTGATAACTCCAAGTTCCATTATTGTCATTTACGTTCTATTACAATCACCAGACGCTACGCTTTGCCCGCAGATCCAAGTCAGCGGCTCTGGCGCTTCAGCCACCAGCACTGTATGACTTTGTGTTTTGGTCTCGCTCAGCTTCATCCGTGTTTTCCGGTTTCCCGTATTCGAAACTTCTCAAATAGCAATGCCGTTGGTGTCCATCGAAGTTAACGCGCCAGTGACACCAAAGATGAAAACAAGGCAACTTTCCAGCATTTCTGCCAGCCATATGTCTATCGAATTGCAAATTTCGCGACCGCAGTAGATGCCTGCCCAATTTTTGGTGACGTAGTGGCCTACCCAGCGGAAACTTGCATCGTTCCCCGTAGTTTCTTTACAAACATTTACACAATAACATCAGCAAAAACCGATGCTTTCATGAAGCTAAAAAGTACGTGTAAATTGTAAACCTTTTCACGAGGTTCTCAGATCCGTCTAGGTTCTCCGGATCGGTTACAGGCCTTGGTGACCTGAAGGAGGGGTTCTCGTATAAATTATGGTCTAAATTCTAGTACAAAACGATGCTAAGGGTCCTAAGGACATCGTTGGGCCAATCTGACAAACTTGCATCCACTGGTGACAATATCCGGCTATATGCCTCGGTCTAATACATACAGTCTTGAAGGCAATCTGCGTTAGCGAGGTGTTAATGATGCGAATAAAGGTGCAACACATTACGAAACTGGCCAATCGGGTTAAAGCGGAAGATCAACCCCCAGTTAGTTCAGTGGCCTAGGGCAATGTACTCTCACTGCACTGGTAATAGCACTGTGGTGATTTGAATCCAGCAATACCATGGCACGTGATTCGACGTAGTAATTCTGTGCCGATATTGTAAAAAAGTTGAGTCAATTTGTTTCAGGAGCGGGGAATCACGTCGTGTACATTGAAAGTCGCAAGTCGCAGCGCAGGAACTCCGAGTACGAGATTTACATGGACGTCGAGGTGTGACAACAAGGTGATGTAAACTCCACCATCACGAGGAGTGATGTATAGCACATCAGCACGAGATGTCACATCATCTTTTTGGCTATACAAGCACTTTCTGGATTTCCTGCTGATTTTCGCATATATCGCCGGTCATATTCATGCCCGAATATCGAACCCGATTCACGATACTCGGTTCATGTTACCGTAATTTGCTGATGACGTTCATCAGGTGAGGCAGGTGCAGCAGCAGGACACCACGCTATAGCAAGTGTGTCCAGACTTTTCATACTGCGAGCTATGTAGCTGTCAATACAGTGCACATGCTACCTACGGAAGAGTATTGGCTGTATTCGGTGATCCGTCTGTGGATAGCGCCAACCTTTGACACCCCACTTCTGTGGATAGCCCCAACCTTTGACGGCCCGCTTCTGTGGATAGCCCCAACCTCTGACGCCCAACCTTTGACGCCCCACTTCTGTGGATAGTACCAACTTTGACGCCCCATTTCTGATGCTGACAGGAAATGCAATCTCTGGCATCAGATCTCACCAACGTGCTGGAGGCAAGGCAGCTCAAGTAAGTGGCCACTTTAGACGGTGCAAAAAATTTCCCTCCCTGTCTTGTGGAGGACACGTTATGTCTTAGGCTCTATATTGGTCCATTTTTAAAAGGCACGAACGTGAAGAACAGTGCAGCTTCACCCGCATGCATCAAATTCCATTGACTCTCCGCCCGTGCAAACTGCGCTAGAGGCTCGCGCCTTGAAAGTTAAATCACACATGGGAAACATCACGCGTAAAACACGGCCCAAATGGCAGTCCTAGCCAAACATCAGATACCTCACCTCCCCAGCACACCGTGATTTGCTCTCCTGCCAGCCTCACTAGCATGCTGCCACGACGCGAAGCAATACAACGCCGTTCCATTGCCACGTTAGACCTACCACGGCGGCAAACGTCCGGAGCGATGCGTGCCGCCCTCAGACACTGTGCATGAAGCGTACCGCGCGCGATCAGGGCGGCGGCCGGACATGGGCAAGCCCTAGTGACACCATCCGGCGCGTCCGCGTCAGTTACGCCGCTCGCCGTCTGGCGCGCTGCTGCGATATGCTCGTCCGCACCTCTGTACATCATGCACCATGTATGTATCATCCGCACACCATGCATTTGTAAATGTGTCTGCGGCAGGGCGTTCGACTCCGGAGGTGACTTCCCGAAGAGAAGCATGAGCATCCAGAGCAGCTTCGGTAAGCCTGGCACACGCTGTTGATGTTGCAACACAGAGGGAAATAGCGCGGGCATGCGGAGCACGTGCCTGTTGTTTCGGTTTGCTGCTGACCTCACCTGCTATTCCCGATCCTAGACTGGACACGCAAGTTCTTGTTGGTTTTCGTGGATCGTTTGTTTATTCATATATGATTTTGGCACATGCGATAACTTTCGCGTCTTCTGTAAAACGGTAGTGATCGAGGGGATGCTGCACTGTGCGAATGGGAATTCCCTGTACGAATGGGAGTTCCTTGTACGAATGGGAATTCTTTGTACGAATGAGAGTTCCTTGTGCGAATCAGGTGTGAGCTTTCCCATTTAAGATTCATACTGTAGCTCAATGTTTGCAGTTACCAGAGGAATGTGAAAGCAAATTGAGTTGCGACGTGGTGCATACCAAAAGTAACGCCTCGCACGTATAAGCATAAAGTGGTCCAATGTATTTTATTTTGAGCAAAATTCCTTTCTAACTTCACCGTTGCTTTTCCCGTAATATATACTTCAGGCCTTTCCGAAAGGAATCGCGGAACGATGCTTACATTGTGACGTAGTTACGGAACATCCAGCTGCAAATCCACCGATACCAGAACGGTTGTTAACACCAGCGCTGCATGTATGACCTGACGCCACGAGGTTGGGTCTGTCCGGGAATGAGGCAACACTTTTTAATGTGAAATGGTGTTTTACTTTACCGACCGAGATATGTCTGTGATTTGCAGCACAGGCGTTGCCGTCTCCTTTTGTTTACGTATTAAATGTCGACACAAATTCCGCAGGTGAACAGCGTTGCATGACGAAATTACGTGTGAAGCACTGAGCTGATTTTTCCACACGCGGCACACCTACAAACCCATCTCGATGTGCAAGATCCCCTCTTATTTTTACCAATCGACATTTGCATCCATTGACCACCACATGACACCCCTGTCGCCACCAAACCAACGGCTGTGACTGACGGGTAATAAAACTCTTTGTCGTGCTTGACAAAAGAAATAATCACCTTCATCTGTTGGTTTTCCACCATTATTGAGATGTTGGTTATTGACCTGCATACGCCAGGAAGTGCTGGCTAAGCGACGTTACGATACGACTATAGTGCACACATTGGTTATATGGTATTATAATATTTATATTATAAATTATATGGTATTGGTAGCTATCGTCGTTTTAAGCACACTTTTTGGTTATACTTGTTTTTTTTTTTGCTTTTGTCTAGTTGTCATCTCTAATCCAAATGCCCTTTTTGCCTGTGTTGCTCAGTTTTTTCTGACTTCTATTCCCCGTGAGTTTAGTATATACTGCCGAATATTGAAGCCATTTTTGCATCTCGTGGTGCGAATGATACCGTCCATGCACTACTTCGAACCGCACCGCTCCCTGCCGACCTGAGAGCGGCGGGCGGTGACCTGCTCTGCCGCAGACTTCGAAGACGTGCCGTGGTTTCCGCGCAAGATCTCCGACCTGGACAAGTCGCAGCGCGTGCTGATGTACGGCTCCGACCTGGACGCGGACCACCCGGTGAGGAGGGACCGGAGGACGGTGCTGAAAGCCAAGCAGGCTTCGACATCCGCGGCCCAAGCCACCGGACCAAAATTTGCAACATTAAATGAACGCTTTCAGGAGGCTGCCGTCGTCAAATGCACATCGACACGCGCCCGCGTAGTCCGTTAAATCCAACGCGCTTGGTAGGGGGGGGGGGAATTTGGCGATCACTGGGATTAAACAAATAAGAGAGCGAAATAGAGCTAGCTTATTTCGCTAGCTAGAAATAAGCTAGCGAAACAAAATTCACGGAGCACGGAAGGCTGTATGTAATCTTACATGTACCAAATTCTGGGGCTCCTAAGTCATGATCTTCAGGTCATATGACGTCAAATTGGTTTGTCTAACTCTAAATTAGTGTCCAATGTTCCCTCAGTCTCCTCTCACAATAAACTTTAACCTAGATACCTACAGCAAGCAAAATGTCACCGGTGGTCTTATCAATTCAGTAACCTTATTTGACCCTCAGGAAAGAAAACTAACTAAAGACCTTCGGAATTATTTTGATGGTTGAATTTATTATGGGTCCAAAATACTATCCTAGCAGACATAGTCCACAACTGGAATGTAGGTTGACGTCATTCTAGGTTGATGACCTTCCATGACATTTATAAACTCAACTCCAAAACGAGACATTTTCTGATGACGTTGTTATCCAGAAATTGGAGATGAGCGTCAAAAGCTATCAACTTAAAAAAACTTTTTATTGTCATAAAGCGGTTTTATTTGACCTTGGTTTGTCCCTTACACTTGGCTCAAGGGGTACGCAACTATCTGTAATTCCAACTTAAATGATATGGTTGTGTAGGAAACCATCTGAAAACAGTGCGACGTCGTCTAGCACTGTGTAGTCACATGTTCTTGGACGATTTCCTAGGAATTGCTTTTGCTTTGCTTTTGAATTTGTTGACAGCCATTGCCTGACTTTGGCCCGTTTCAGGTCAGTGACCACGCAAATGATTGGCTCTGCAATCGTCTACCGCTAACCGATGTCGTCGCCGATATGTCTTCTCGTAAATTTATTCTGGAAAGCTTTTGGGGCTCACATGCACTCCCTCATCCGTCATCCGAGCCTTTGTTAAGACAGAACCGAGAGCTTCAAACGAAAAGATGAAGAGATAGTTCATGTGTTCTCAGGCATATTCCTGGAAAAATCAGTGAAAGGTTCGTTGCTGCAAATCGCAACGAGCAACCAGCTGGTACTTCATTTTCTGTTACAATAAACCTTGTAGAGATTTTCAGTCTAGGCCGTTCGAATCCCAGCTCGTGCCTAAGCACAGCGACATAACCGCCGCAAAAAGGGATCGCCGGTGGACGATGCCTGTTTACCACTGTTTTCAGGGCTTTAAGGACAAAGTGTATCGTCAACGGAGACAGCACTTCTCTGAGATCGCCATGAACCACCGCCAGTGAGTTTGGAGCTCACTTCGTCACCAATGTCTTTGGCATGCTGAGCATTTGCTTCTGATCTCCATAGCATCTCGTGAAACTCACTATAGCTTCATGGGACCGGAGCACGCTTCTCGGCGTTTATGTTCCCTTACGCGTGTTCTTGGTCCTGAAAGCATGTGCTATTGGTACCCTTTCTTCTGTATTAACGTTGCTGGTGCAAAAGAAAAACTCCGCACGGAATTTACGAGGGAGGTCGCCCAGATTACAGTCATTCTGGTCCTGGTCATGCTATTTTGCCACGAATCATTCTAACCCCCCAATGTTCTCACACAGGGGGCACCGAAATTTAGCCCTATTCGATTTTCATTCCGAGCGGTACATAGTAGTGCAGTATGGCGTCATTTGACTTGCAGTGTTGCTGACAACCAAGCTCAGCGCTCTGACGCGACGACCCCGGCTTTCAGCGACAAGCCCATCCCCCGCGTGGAGTACACCGAGGAGGAGACGAGGACATGGTGAGCATGATGCAGGTCGAGGCCGGACTGTAACAGGACAATCAGGACAATCAGGACAATGTATCAGGACAATCCGCCACACTGTCCTCTGAGCACAAGTCGGCGAACAGAGCTTACACAACAACGGTTTAACCACGATGGCCTATCGCACCTCTGACTTTCGATGTCGGATTGGACCAAATCAGCCGTCGCCTTCGGCACTGTCAGCACAGTCCTCCCAATACATAAAGACAATACACCAGAGGAACGCCCCAACGGGAATGGTTTGGAAATCATTTCCGATTAAATTTAAGGCGGCGTTACGTGCCAATGCCAGCGCAGACTTCGCCGGCGCCACGCTGCCGGTGGTATCACACGGCATCGAGGGTGCCCGCCAAACCCGCTGATGTCAATCGCGTCTTCCTGTTCACTGGCATGAACTGAAACAAGGCCTCGACTTGCGCCGCGCACCCCTAATGAGGTAACGCAATTTGTGATCTCGACGCGGTTAATTGAGACCCCTCGTTACCGTCCAATCAGCCGAAGCCAACGGTCGCAACGTCAGAGTGGCGCCGCCTGTTGCCGATTGAGATGGGGAGGGGGAAGCGGAGGGGGGGGGGAGAGGTTTGAAGTGACGGGACGTATAAAAGTCATTTGTTTTACGAAACACCATAGCCCAACGTTAAACTGCAGGAAGACAAACCCCTTGTTTCCCGGCGATCGTTGCTTCCCTGCCTCGAGTTCTTCCCGCTGCGAGACGCCAGAGAAATGTCAACGGGCGCATGTAGGCCGCTGCGGCACCCGTTGTCCAGGATGGTGAGCAAGCCTCGTGATCAGGAGTGCGCATGTTTTGGTACTCACTGCTGGCCGACGGTCACCGTCTCCCCGGTTAAAACCTAGCGGAAGGCTTGCGCCACTGCGAGTGCGACAGCGTGTCACGTGACTGGTCCCGATGGGCCTGGTCAATGTCACACGTCAGGTCACGTCGAGCTAGCGTTGGTTACATCATATGTCAAGCTGCAGCGTGGTAGCGAGGACACGCGGTCGGAGCTGGAGCGTGTGCCATGGGACACGCAGCTAGGGCTGGATGCGTGGGCCATGGGACACGCAGCCAGGGCTGGAGCTGGGCCATGGGACACGCAGCCAGTGGCTGGAGCGTGGGCCATGAGACACGTAGCCAGGGATGGAGCGTGGGTCATTAGACCCGTAGCCAGGGCTGGAGCGTGGGTCATGGGACACGTAGCCAGGGCTGGAGCGTGGGCCATGGGACACGCAGCCAGGGCTGAGCGTGGGCCATGAGACAACGTAGCCAGGGTGGAGCGTGGGTCATGGGACGCGCAGCCAGGGCTGGAGCGTGGGCCATGGGACACGTAGCCAGGGCTGGAGCGTGGGTCCATGGGACACGCAGCCAGGGCTGGAGCGTGGGCCATGGGACACGCAGCCAGGGCTGGAGCGTGGGCCATGGGACACGTAGCCAGGGCTGGAGCGTGGGTCATGGGACACGCAGCCAGGGCTGGAGCGTGGGTCATGGGACACGTAGCCAGGGCTGGAGCGTGGGCCATGGGACACGCAGCCAGGGCTGGAGCGGGGTCATGGGACACGTAGCTAGGGCTGGAGCGTGGGTCATGGGACACGTAGCTAGGGCTGGAGCGTGGGCCATGGGACACGCAGCCAGGGCTGGAGCGTGGGCCATGGGACACGCAGCCAGGGCTGGAGCGTGGGCCATGGGACACGCAGCCAGGGCTGGAGCGTGGGCCATGGGACACGCAGCCAGGGCTGGAGCGTGGGCCATGGGACACGCAGCCAGGGCTGGAGCGTGGGTCATGGGACACGTAGCTAGGGCTGGAGCGTGGGCCATGGGACACGCAGCCAGGGCTGAAGCGTGGGTCATGGGACACGTAGCCAGGGCTGGAGCGTGGGTCATGGGACACGTAGCCAGGGATGGGGCGTGGGCCAGGGGACACGCAGCCAGGGCAGGAGCGTGGGCCAGGGGACACGCGGTGATAGCTGGAGCGTGGGTCATGAGACACGCGGCCAGGTTTTTTAGGCCGATGATATTGAGTGAGCCGAGAAATCTGAATGCGACCGTTAACTCAGGACAATTTGGTTGAGCTGCTTTAAGTCCGGCGAGACCACAGACGATTGGTCGTTTGACACAGCTCGACCTCGGAACGAACCAGCTGAGTCCTATAGATCCTGCTCTGGAACCCCACCCTGTCACGCCGCCACCTGGCGGGAGGATGCAGGCGCGCTGAGTTATATAATACAAGAAGAGATTTCGAGGGGGTTACTGGGTGGAAGAGAAGTCCGGGGTTGGCGTGCGCCAGGAGAGGGGCGCCTACTGCACTGTCGTTCTCGAAATAATCTCCTTCATGATGGCAGTTAGAGTGGCTTCCATGTGGGAAAGCTTGACCAGTATTATTCTACGACGGACTGTTTCTGTTGTGGTTGCCGCACGGTCTCACCGTGTTAATTTGGTAATATGTTTTTTTTTTGTTTTTAAGAATTTTTATTATTAAAACATTATTTTTATATTGTATTTATATTAATATTATTATAACAATTTTTAAAGAAAGCTTGTCAAGAAATCTTCTGTTGGCAGTACTACCCAGCCGGTGCCCTCCATATTCGGCAGGTGGCGCCCGCATCGCACTCGCGCACAGTACTAGGACAGGTGGCACCCGCGTCGCACTCGCGCACAGTGCTAGGATAGGTGGCACTCGTGTCACACTCGCGCGCAGTACCTAGAACAGGTGGCGCTCGCGTCACACTCGCGCACACTGCTTCGGGCAGGTGGCGCCCGTGTCACGCCCGCGCTCGGTATCTTCAGAAGATCATGCCCGAGACTCCCCCGCCCCTTCTCCGGTTGACGTCCATCGCGCGGTCCCAACCGTGACCGAACCCATTCCCTTCGCGCAGGGGTGTGATATTCCGCGAGCTGAGCGAGCTGTACGAGACGCACGCCTGCCAGGAGTACCTGGAGAACTGGCGCCAGCTGCGTCGCTACTGCGGCTACCGCCACAACCACATCCCCCAGCTGGCGGACGTGGACGCCTACCTGCGCCGTGAGCATGCCGGCGGGATCGCTCGGCTTGGCCGGAGCGCCGGAGAGCGAGCTGGAACTGCGACTGCGGGGACGGGTCTCTGCTGGCATAAGCGTGGCTGGATGGCAGTGCTGGTCATAAGGCATTTCTGAGAGCTCCAGCTAGTTGGGTCATCCCATAGTAGTGTGAATATTGAGTCTTGAGTCTGACTGATGTCTCTTCTCGCGCGTTAAAACTCACTGGAGTTGATTCACCATCTTTGGGAGGACATGTAAGATGGCTAAGGTGGTGTGTACAGCATGGATAACGTACCTTCTGTAGATGGCTTACCATGAGTTTGAACCCATCATGGCTAATCGAGACGGCGTCCGATGTTCGTGTGAGACGCCGGCTGGCTCCGTCTCCGAGCTAGCCCGGCTCCGTCTCAGACCGAGCTGGCTCCGTCTCCGATCGAGCCCAGCTCCGTCTCTGAGCGAGTCTGGCTCCGTCTCCCGACCGAGCCCGGCTCCGTCTCCGACCGAACCCGGCTCCGTCTCCGACCGATCCCGGCTCAGGCTCCGCCTCAGACTGGGCCCGGCTCCGTCTCCAACCGAGCCGCTGTCCCCTGCAGAAAGGACGGGCTTCCAGCTGCGGCCGGTAGCCGGCTACCTGTCACCACGAGACTTCCTGGCCGGGCTGGCCTTCCGGGTGTTCCACTGCACCCAGTACATCCGCCACAGCTCCGACCCGCTTTACACACCGAACCGTGAGCTATACCTTCGGTGCATCTCAGAGCTGTGAGCTATACCCGGACGCATCTCAGAGTCGTGAGCTATGTTCCGGGCTCACCCAAGATCCCACTCGGGTTATCTCGTGCGAGGCTATTCCACTGCTTTTTCTGGTGCGGATATGAGTTACGCCTTTGGTGCACCCTAGAGCGAAGAGTTACGTCCACATTGTTCAACCAGGGTATGAGTTGTTACACCTCCTTAACACACAAACCGGTATCATAAGCCCCAATATGCGCCTAAATTACGAAACAAAACCGCTAAGCACCGGATGTCAGTTGCGCTCTTTATCTCTCGCGGCTACTAACATCGCTCATTGAGTGATTATGGTGTAATCAGATGTTTGTTGAATCTACAAATCATCGGCACAAGCAGGGCTCGTTACCTTGATGTCAGCAGCCACGCGATGACCAGTGCCGTCGCAGTAGCCTCGTCGACAAGTAGCCTCGTCGCGGTAGCCTCGTCGCACCAGCGTAGTCGTGACTGACGTGTTGCTGGGCGCAGGGACTGCTGTCACGACGCTGCTGGGTCACATGCCGCTACTGGCCAACGCCCAGCTTCGCACAGTTCTCGCAGGAGCTCGGACTGGCTTCGCCTGGGCGCCTCCAACGAGGAGATCTCCAAGCTGGCCACGGTACGGGCTGGCACAGACCATGCAGTAGATACGCCATCGGTCATCATCACCCATGTATGTGGGTGATGACAAGACGATGACGGCTGCTTATGTGCGTTATCGTTAAAATGAATTGGGCTCGGCGACGTGCCTCGCTCGAATTCATGGAATGTAGCCTACAACACTAGTTTAACAGTGTTCTTGTTCTCAAACTAGAAGACATTTATGCTACAAAGGGTTAGCGTTTGAGCGCGCACTTAAAGGTAATGTTGCTACACGTACCGAAACGGAAATATCTGCTATAGTAACACAAAATTACAAGGACAGCGTTTGCATTGATATGTTGTGCTCTGGCACGAGAGAGAAAATTAGAGTTGCAATCTACTGACTCTCGGTATTGGAACTCATTCAATGGCCAGTAAAACCCATTACAAGTCCTGTGGAGCATAATCGCTGTGTAGAACAAAGCGCTGGGACTGTAGCAGCCGATTTTATGACTCTGGTCACAATATGAAACAAGAATGTGGATGACTTAGGTTAGCTAGGTCCGGTTGTTTGGTTACGAGTTATAACTTCATCTATTCCCATGGAAAATTCAGCCTTTAAAGAATTCGCTACAAAGATTGACTACTTGTCCATGCGCCAAGGGAAGTACTCGAAAGTTCACGATAAGGCGGTATAATGACGTCAGTTGTCTACCCTAACTGTTCCCGCCATGTCCCGTGCCAATCACAGCAGAGCTCCTCCCGGTGAAGTTCTGTCTGATGACGTCACAGGCTACCCGACTGTTCGAACCGTACCGCTCACAGTGCTACTTCTTCACGGTGGAGTTTGGCCTGTGTCGGGAGAACGGGCGGCTGAGAGTGTACGGCGCCGGTCTGCTCTCCTCAATCGCAGAGCTGAGACACTCGCTGACACCGGCGCCAAGGTCCGCAGGTAAACATACACTCGCTGACACCCGTCGTCAAGGCCTGCAGGTAAACACTACATTCGCTGACACCGGTCACCAAGGACTGCAGGTTAAAACTATATTTTCTGATACCGGCCGCCACGGCCTGTAGGCAAACACTCCACACGTTGACCGGCCGCAACGGTCTGCAGGTAAACACTACACTCGCTGACACCGGCCACCACGGTCTGCAGGTAAGTACTCCACTCGCTGACATCGGCCGTCAAGGTCCGCGGGTAAACACTCCACTCGCTGACACCGGTCGCCAAGGTCCGCAGGCAAACACTGCGATCGCTGATACCGGCCGCCAAGGTCTGTAAGTAAACACTACACTCGCTGACACCGATCTCCAAGGTCTGCAGGCAAATACTCCACTCGCTGGCACCGGTTACCAAGGTCTGCAGGTCAACACTATACTCGCTGACACCGGTCATCACGGTCTAGGCAAACACTGCACACGCTGATACCGGCTGCCACGGCCTGTAGGCAAACACTCACACGCTGACACCGGCCCAAGGTCCGCAGGTAAACACTACACTCGCTGACACCGACTGCGAAGGCCCGCAGGCAAACATTGCAATTGCTGACACCGGCCACGGAGGTGGCCGGTGTCAGCGAGTGACGAAGGCATCAAACCTTTATGTCCGATATCCTGGATATGAGATAAACAACTCAAGCGTTAACATTCAAGCCCGGTGTCTCGGCGAACATTGCATCACTTGGCCATCGAGACACCATGTTTTGCGCGGAGACTGCGCTAAGGCCTGACTACTTAGCACTACCCGACCCCTGCGATCGCTGCATGTTCTTTAGACAATTGTCACCTACAGAGGTCACACTCATGACCAGGTCATGCGCATGAGGCCGGATGATATTTGTCAGCTGATTCTGTGTTAGGAACATTGACGGCTTTTCTGTTCTTCGTAACATGCGAAGGGAATTAAGTGCGACCATGTTGGTTTGAAACATCTACAACATACCCCTACCTAGCGTAGTAGCACCAGCTTTGTTAACCTGCTCGTCTTGTTAAGAAACGATATGACATATCGTGGTATGTCACGGTTATTTCACCCTTGTTATCAGATCTCAGATCTAACATCTCTAACATATCCCCACCTACCATAGCGACACCGGCGCTTTGCTAACCCGCTCGTTTGTCAAGACACGATATGACATGTCGTGACATGTCACGGATTTGTCACCCTTGTCGTCAGATTTGATCCTGACGTGACGTGCACAGAAGAGTGCATCATCACGGCCTTCCAGAACGTTTACTTCTATACGGACACGTTTGAGGAGGCCAAGGAGAAAATGAGGTAGGTAGGCCCTGCCGATAGCTGCTGTGAATTGTTTCTACAGCTCCCATCAATCCTGTACAAAGCGAAACCAGACAACCAAAAACATTTTTGTTTTGTCATGCATTTTCTCTTTTAGCACGTGTATGATACCCGGTGGCACGACGATGTTCGGAAGTGGCTACTTGCGCCTATTCAGGTAACCACTTGGGCCACAACTAACCTCCTGCTTCATTGTTTGGCGTTAGCTCAGCCAAATTATGCGTTAACCAATTTGCATTTTTGTAGATGATGGCTCTGAGCAGAGCTGGGTTTCTGGGCTCTGGGCAAAGTTTGCAACTATTAATTTCACGTTTGTACAGTTCTCCTTCTCACAGGTGTTAAGCCCAGTCCCCCGTCGTGCCCGTGAGCCCCTCCCACACCCATCTCCCGGTGACCACCGGCGGCGGCGACGACCGCTCAAGACCCGATAACCCGGTCGAGGGCCTGCCCGCTGTGAGCGATGGTTCGGCGGCGGCACCCCCAGCGGGTGTAAACGGGAACCTGAGAGCCCATGTACCAGGGGTTTACTGTTGAGCGCCTCAGATAATGAAAGCACGGAATGCACGCGGAGCCGGCGTTGGCGCGGGTCCCCGCACGCGTCTAACCACGTTGGTGCCGTGATTGCGTTTGTTTTATTCAGCCCACGCGAGCGCAACGGGGCTGCGGTCTCACCATTGCCTTGAACACCTTTGTGGTTTACTCCAACTGTAGGTGATCTGCCCAAAGCAAGGGGTGTAATGGCCGAGTGGTTAGAGTGTCGGATCCCCACGTGGGGAGCCGGGTTCGGATCCCGGTTGCGCCCATGGCTCGTGATTGCT